TACGATATACACATCAAGTTTGCAGAAGAACATATTCCCGGTAGCCCCTTCACTGCTAAAGCAGGGAAACCCATAGATCCATCTAAAGTAAAGGTTCATGGCCCTGGAGTTGACACAGATAATCCATTATTTTCAAAAGCACCACAGCAATTCACAGTTGATACGACCGAAGCTGGTGTTGCACCTCTTGATGTAACCGTTGAGGCTCCTAACAGGAAGGTTCATAAGCCTGAAAAAGTTGTCGAAGAATCACCTGGAATTTATGCTGTAACTTACATTCCAAACGAAGAAGGTACCTCTTGCTTGAACCTTTTTGACTAGCATTCGATGTGATGTTCTACAATCTAAATTATTATCTATTCCAATTGATGTTTTGGATTTACTCATGAGAATTTTATATTAAAGGTCGACACAACGTGAATGTTAAGTATGCTGCCACTCATGTTCCAAAGAGTCCATTCCGTGTTCGTGCTGGACCACCATTTGATGCCAGCAAGGTCAAAGTATCTGGAAAAGGCGTCGATGAAGAACCCTTAGCTGAAGAACCAGTTGAATTTTTATGCGACTGCAGTGAAGCTGGCAATGCACCTTTGGCAGGTAGATTTCTCTCAGATTTGATAATTATAGTACCCCTTTCTCCTACGTCCCTCGATAGTTTATGATAATGATCACGATCGCATCAGCAACCATTGACTATAATAACTTTAATATAATCGTTATTTTTTCCTTTTGCGTAGTTACTGTTTCGCCACCTACTGGCAGAGACATTAAACCAGAGATCAAAGATAATGGCGATGGCACCCATACTGTCTCCTACGTCCCTGATAAGCCAGGACGCTATAACATCGACGTTAAATATGGAAACAGACGAGTTCCCAAGAGCCCATTTAGACCAACAGTGAAGCCTGCTGGAGACGCATCTAAAGTAAAGGTTGACGGTCTTGGACCTGATGACTCCCCAATAGTAAACCAAGAGAATGAATTTACTGTTGACACGAGAGAAGCTGGRAAAGGTTGGTCTCTCTTAAAGTACTAATTCAATTTTTTGTTTGTAATCACTAGATAAAAATCTTGCGGATTCAATCAGATTAGGTTTGATTCTAAAGGTCTTTCCATTTTAATAGCTTGGAATGTGTGAACTTAAAGAGTGGATGTTTTGCTTTTTCAGGAAAGCCACAATGTACTTGCACAGGTCCAGGAAGAAAGAACATTCCAGTAGATGTTGAACCACAAAAGGATGGCACCTATGCCTGTTTCTACGAACCCAAAGACGAAGGCCGCCACGCTGTGGATGTTTTGTTCGGTGGAAAACCAGTTCCTGGTAGCCCGTTCCATGTCAAAGCCAAACCAAAAGATAAAGTTGACCTGAGTAAAATCAAATGCGCCCCTAAAAATCCAATCGACGAGCCAGCAGTTAACCAAGAACTTGTGTACGGTGTTGATGCGAGTGCCATCGAACCATTTTTCAACCAACCAGGAAAATGYCCTGTTAAAGGTTCTTTGGAAGGACCATCAGGAAAAGAGCCCGTTGATGTGAAAGATAACGGTGATGGCACTTACGATGTMTTGGCTGTACCAAAAGAACCAGGTCCACACAAGCTGGATATCAAGTATGATGGTGAGCCAATTCCAGGAAGCCCTTATAAATTTAAAGCCATCGAAGGTGGACCAGGGAGCGTCAGAGCCTTTGGACCGGGTAAGTCATAATGCAATAAAGACATTGAAGTGGAAGTTGCTAATAGCTATTTTACCCTTGTGGCCTTTGTATTCTTTCTTTCCGCGCATTCCAACTAATATAGAAGTGATATATGATAAAGTCGTTTTTTTCTGATTACGTTCTTGTCGTTTTCAGGTCTTGAACGTGGCCTCACCAAACAACCGTGCGAATTCACCGTAGTAACGAGAGACGCAGGACCAGGTGGTCTCTCCCTTGCAATCGAAGGACCAAGTAAAGCAGATATTCAATGCAAAGACAATGGAGATGGCTCATGTAATGTTACTTACGTACCAGAAGAGCCAGGTTAGAGATTACTTGCATTTTCGTGCGATGTGCATTTAATGGAATGTGTCGTTGTCTATTAATAATCAGTAAAATTGAAAATATTTTTATTAGTGATCACCCTWTAAGTCAAAACTCGTCAGTTCTTTACGTTCGTCCACTTATTGAATACTTTAATTCCTCAGGCGAGTACAACATCAATGTGAAATTTGCTGACAAGCATATCCCTGGAAGTCCATTTTACGCTCAAATTTACAACAATTACGACGACCTACTCGCTGCTAAACCTCGACCCACCGTAGGAAAGAAATGTGATGTGGACCTGGGTTCACCTGGAATACCTGTGGACGTCTCAGAACTCGTAGGAACACTTAAACGGCCTTCATCTCCTCGTGAAGAACCTTTAGATGTAAACATGAACGAAGATGGAAGYTTAGGAGTTACTTTTACACCTTATGAGCCCGGTGAGCACCTCATCAGCATCAAAAAAGATGGCCGTCATGTCCAGAATAGTCCTTTCTCTGTTCTTGTYCAGGCACAGAGACTCGGCGATGTCTTTCCTGTAAATCATACAGCGGATGTKGCAATTCCCGGACTTGAGAACTATGATGATTTATCAAAGCTCCAAGCAACCCTACGTGGACCCAATAGCAAAGAGGATAAGCCTGTGAAATTAAAGAAAAATCCAGATGGAACTGTCAGCGTCACTTTCGTACCACAAGAATATGGTGAATACTACTTGACCGTTAAGAAGGACAAGGTTCCTATTCGAGGTAGTCCATTCCTTATTGTTGTRGAAGCCGAAGAACCAATTGATGCAGTAGGTTCCACTGTTGATTACTGCTTCGACATCAAGGACGACGTTAACCTTCCAGCTGARTTTGACAAACTAAAGGCAACCATCAAGAGGCCATCGAGCAACAAAGAAGAACCCATTGAGCTGAAATTGAACTCCGATATGTCTCTAACATGCTCGTTTACTCCATGTGAAACTGGCATTCACTTGATTCATATCAGGAAGTTTGGTCGTGATGTTGCGGGAAGTCCGTTCCCTGTTAATGTCACCGCCCAAGAAGCTGTCAGTGAAGTTGGGCGACCTTATGGACGTGGACTTGACTTCGATGATGTCAACCTTCCTGAAGACTTCCCTCGCCTTTCAGCTACACTCAAACGACCATCAGCCAAAGAAGAAGARGAACTTCGACTGCTTCTCAATGGAGATAACACCCTTGGTGTTGCATTCACTCCAAGAGAAGTCGGGGAGCATTTAATTCACGTTCGAAAAGACGGAAAGGAGCTTGAAAAGAGTCCAATCAGTATTATGGTTGTTCCTAAAGAAAAGATGGAAGAAGTWTATCCAGTTAATAAGACTTGTGACAAAGAAATYCCCGGCACTTGGTTCCCCGAAGATTTCAAGACTCTTAAAGGAACTCTTAGAAGRCCAAACAGCACTAGAGATGAGCCTTTGAACTTGAAACCCAATGACAAGAACACGCTGAGTGTTGCCTTTACACCATTTGAGCCTGGCGAGCACAAAATTAACATCACAAAAGCTGGAAAAGATATACCTGGAAGTCCATTTTCTGTTATGGTTGAGGCAGCTGAGCCAATCAATGCAGTTGGCGCTCCATGTGATGGAATCCTACCTGGACGATTCAACGAGGATGATCTCAAGAGACTTACTGCAACTCTGAAAAGACCATCAAAGAAGACAGAAGAACCACTTAAATTAAAACTCAATGCTGAYAAAACTCTATGTGCTGTTTTTGTACCACAAGAAACAGGAGAACATCTCATCAATGTTAAACGATTTGGAAAACATATCGAAGGTAGTCCTATTTCTGTCATGGTCGTTGCACCAGAGGCGGCCGACAAAGCCATTGGAAAGCCCTGTGGTGTTGGACTTGTCATTCCTGGCCTGAAATTACCTGATGATTTCAAGAAGCTCTCKTCAACGCTTAGAAGACCTGGCAAGGTGGATGAAGAGCCAATGGATCTGATTCTCAACTCGGACAACACACTCAGTGTGTCGTTTGTTCCTTATGAATCAGGCGARCATTTYGTTACAGTCAAGAAGGAAGGCCAGCACGTCACTGGTAGTCCATTCTCTGTCATGGTCAGYGGACCTGGACCTGCAGATGCATCTAAAGTCAAAGTTTATGGCGATGGTAAGTGGCCCCAGAGATTCKCCAAATATTTAGGTTTTTACCTATATCAATCGATATGTAATACTAATAACGTTTATATCACTTATAGGTCTTAAGAAAGGTGTCACAGGAACCCCAGCTCGCTTCACTGTTAACACTCGTGATGCTGGCTATGGTGGATTGGGTCTGTCTATTGAAGGGCCTTCTAAAGCAGAGATCAACTGCGTAGAYAACGAAGATGGCACATGCTCAGTAGATTATCTACCAACTGAGCCTGGAAAATATACCATYAATGTGAAGTTTGCCGACGAACATGTTAAAGGAAGCCCTTTCAAAGCCAACATCCGACGACCAGGTGATGAAGAAATCGTTGTTGAGGATGTTGATGGTCTTGAGTCAGAACCAACACAACGCGTATCCCAGGTGTTTGAAGATCTTGTCAGCTTTGGAGGCACAGCACCACAACCACAAGACTTCGTCTTCGACCTTAAAGACTACAATATTGACGATCTACAAACTACAGTTGTAGACCCCGAGGGAGAAGAATTACCATCTGARATTGTAGAGAGTGGAGAAAGCAGTTATACAATTCGATTCATGCCCAAGAGGAGCGGAGAGCAYATTATCAATGTGATGTACCGTGGACGACATATACCCGGAAGCCCGTTCAAGCTTTTTGTCGAGGCGCCTGTCTGGGGTGGTGCAAAGAAATGCTACGCCGCTGGACCTGGTCTGGAAAGAGGTGTGGTCAACGAGCGTGGTGAATTCACTGTATGGACTCGGGATGCTGGTCCAGGTGGACTTGCAATTGCTGTTGAAGGACCCGCCAAAGCTGAGATCACATGTCAAGACAACGGAGACGGCTCTTGTAATATCAGCTATCTCCCAACAGCACCAGGRGAATACACGATTCACATCAGATTCGCTGACGAGGACATCCCTGATAGTCCATTCAAGGTGTTCGTAACCAGCGARGTTGAGGACCGATTCCGTGATTTGAAATTGTCAGATCTTGCCGAAACAGGCCTCAAAGTTGGTCAGCCAGCTTCATTCTCTGTTCAAACAAACGCCCCTGTCGGTAGTGTTACAGCTACTGTGGTACCACCATCCGGTGTAGAATCCAAGGCCACTGTCTCCCCTCTTGGTGGAGGAAACTACGCTATTCGTTTCGTCCCTAAAGAATTTGGAGATCACTTGGTTAATGTAAAATTCGATGGTACTCATATTCCAGGAAGTCCATTCAAGATCCGCGTAGGAGGTGGCGGTTCCCATCCAGAAAAGGTGAAAGCGTACGGCCCAGGTCTCAGCAGTGGCAAAGCTGGTGAGCCAGCAGAGTTTACTGTGAACGCCCTTGAAGCAGGATCCGGTGCTCTTGCTCTCTCTGTCGAYGGCCCTGCCAAGGTCAAGATGAACTGCAGTGAAAATCCAGATGGCACTTACCAAGTTACCTACTACCCAGTAGTCGCTGGAGAATATACAATTAGCATCAAGTTTGCTGGACAACATATTCCAGACAGCCCATACAACGTTACTATCTTTCCTTCCAGTGGAAAGCCACTAGGCASCGATGGCGGAGATGCTTCGAAGTGTACATCAAGAGGGACAGGTCTACATAGAGCAGTCCTTGGACAACCCAATTCGTTTACAGTCAACGCAAGTAACGCAGGACGAGGATCTCTTATGGTTGGCGTTGAAGGACCAGCTATMCCCGCCAAAGAAATCAACGTTAAACACACCGGTAGCAACGTCTATGCCGTAAACTACGCTCTTGAGGAATCTGGTACATACATCTTGAAAGTATTATGGGGTGAGAAGCACATTCCAGGCAGTCCCTTCCACGTAACTGTATAAGACCTCCTCAAGACCCGGTTTTTGAATATGGATTTCTTAAGAGAATAAATAGTCCAGAATAATTCAGGGTTTAAAAGTCTAAGAAACGCAATCGTGACCAAACAAACTGCCCTATCAAGGAATTGAATTAATGTGTGAGATGTATCAGAGTCGAATTTTTTGTATCCCTGATCAAACACCCTAGGTAGTTCTAATAAGAAATTATAATGCGGGCCTCGATGTATGGGCTCTCTAGGTTCAAGTGACATATTTTCAAAATGCATTGTCGACGCTTTAGTAAAAAAAATACATTGTAGAATCTCAAAATTTTTGTCTTTGGTATTTTGTAACTTCAGTATCATAGTGTATTGTTTAAAGTAATATTTTGTAAGCAACTTGTTATCCATGTTGTAAAAGACGAAGTTTTCAAAAAATATATGTAGAATTCTTGACTGTTGTTGATTGATCTTGGTAAACCGTTTCCAACATTCACCTGTTTTTTAAAACAGATGATAACAAGGTTAGAAAAATTGAGAAATAAAACGATTGACAAGAACAATGGAATCTGAATACAGCAATTTGAATTCTCATTTTCATTACAGGTTCTTTCATAAATCCGTTATTTGGTTACATATTGTTCTATATTGTATTCTTACATTCATTCCTACAACGCTTAACGAAAACAGACTAAGAAACGATAAAAATTTTCGATCTACTAGGTCACTTGATRCTATCATCCAATAATTCAAAATGTCGACTAGGGCATGCTGTCATCGTCTCCCGCATTTAACAGTACTTTATGGCAATGTARGAACGAAAAAAACAAATGGAATAGATAAGTTAAGGCGCAATTTACTGCTCTTTTATTACGAAAAACGCGTGGTTTCTGTAAGACGAAAAATGCTGTCACACGGCATATATGATAGCCGATTGTAGAGGCCGGTTGTACGAAGAGAGAATWAAGTTGTCCACTCCCGAGGTTGTGTGGACTCATCCGCYAAATAAGGATTTATACMGTGGATAGCGCTAAGTACACKTCTTACAGYCTGCCCCAGTTATTACCAATATTTGCTAGTGAAGAAACGGCGGAGTACGGCAAATACTGATAGTACTTTATAGGAATATRATGTATGATCGAGCGCACAAAGGCAATAATTTACTGATCAGTACAGAACAAAGTATACATGTGAATAAAGGTCTTAATTTATTTGATTAAGGCTTGTAGTMATGGTACATTCTTGTGCAATATTGCAATTTATATTTAAGCCAATGGAACGAACTCTAAGCCAAGAATACACATACGTTGATTGTCGGGAATTAACAAGGCTTAACTCGTTGTCGGCGGAACTTTTTAATTTTGTAGTCGATATTTCTTTGATCTAGGCCAAACCTTAGCTTAGAGTCACCTTACCCCTCACCTTTGGATGTTATAGGTAAGAAATTGTGCCTCTCTTGGTTAATTTGTAATAAAGAAATTTTCTAAAGCCAACTTCTTAAAAGCAACGCAAGTGCAAACAATGTTAATAAATGTTCTGACGTCAAAYACTAGGTGTCATCAAAGAAAACCCGGGCCTTGTGCCGCACTCAATTCAACGCAAATGGAACGCATGAACTAATAAGTCTCTTTGAGTYACGAACTTCTCAAAATRGCAAGAATTCAAATCCGAATTTTATAAAATTTAAAAAAGAAAACAAAGTGAAAAAATGAGAAAAAATGGAAATCAATTGAAAAGAAAAAAAGCAGCATTCTTGAGTTGTATCAGTGCGTCAATGAAATCACCTTTTTTTGCTTGCGTTTTCACATGATCAAACGACTCAACAACTCAACAAGTTTTTCGAAAAAGTATAACTKTTAGCAGCYCACTCTAGATCAAGATATTAATTTTGTTTGTTTTGTTTAGACCACCTTGGTTTCTAGAAAGCGTTCTGGATAATGTATCGATAAGCGTCCTGAGAGTGCATGCACATGCGGTGTTGTGTGGAACATAGATTAGAGAAGTGTCCACAAAAATGCAGAGAAACATTCGATAAGACTCAACATGACGGCTGTATAAATAAAAGCATTGTTAGAGATGAAAGATCCGGCTTATCAGTGTAATGTACACCGTTATAAATAGGACTCAAGAACAGTTCTTTTGACAGTCTGTTTAGCAGGTTAGATCATTAGTTGAAGAGAGGAGTGTTCTCTGGACCCTGGCTCTCATGTAAGGTAAAACAACATATTCTATTAGCTAATTCAGTGCTAGTGTATTACATTTTAATAAAGTAGTTCATTGGAATTTATGTAGAAGTACTCAAATGCTAAAGTTCCAATCAATTTTATATTTCATCGACAATGAAAATCATGCGAATCGGCAGCAAGAGTGCAATGTCACAGCAGCCATGCACGTGAAACAAATACCGCACTAACGCAGGCGCGTAGCGTCCTCTACGCATATTACGCACATGTGTACTTGGGGCAAGGAAATATTAAAATTTTAACAAAATTACTGAAAAATTCACATAAAATTGATCCGGCCTTTTATATGCCCTGGATGTCTCTCAAAACGCTGGAAATTGCATTTCCAAGAGTTATTATTTCAAATTTTCATTGGGAAGGTCCAGACTCCCTTGATACTCTC